TGTCTCAAAAAAAAAAAAAAAAAAAAGAGAGCCAGGCTCAGCCTTAAGGAGGTAGGTTAGGGGTGAGCTGAGGGGCAAGGGACACAGTGGGGCTGTCATCCAGCAGAAAGGACCTTAAAGTCAAACCACAAAGAGGAGAAGAGTGTTAGATCTGAAACTCAAGCTGAGGATAGTTAAAAAACTGAACATTTTGCTTTGAGCTTCCTGGTGGCCTAGGAGAAAAGGGAACTAGGGAAGGGGACGTTCTTGCTTTCTTCAGCCTAGGATGTGGTCTTCCTGTCCAGACAGGGACAAAAGGGAAGGAGGCTGGGGGAGAGGATGCCGGGCACCATCAGGACCTAGCTATGTCTGAAGGGTCTAGGGAGCCACAGGCTGCAGTGGAACCGAGAGGGGAGGGTGAGGAGCTGGGCGGAGCCCTGCACCAACACCCCATCCCCCGACTCCCCAGCTGCCTGGCCCGGGTAACCGGAGAGCTGACCATGACGTTCCCTGCGGGCATCGTGCGTGTGTTTGGCGGTACTCCACCCCCGCCCGTCCTCAGCTTCCGGCTTGTACACGCGACCCCCATCGAGCACTTCCAGCCCAACGCGGATCTGCTCTTCAGGTACCGCGTGTAGGCAGTGGGGATGGGGGTCAGGGGCTCCTGACGCTGAATTCCTCTTGGGGTTTGCTGTGTGGCCTGGGGCAAGCTGCTCGCCCTCTCTGAAACTCACTTTCCTTCCCTCCTTTACTGACTCCCCCCCACTACCCAGGTAGGGCTCTGATGGGCCCAGGGTGGGCCAGGAAACTGGAAGCCCCTGGGGGTAGGTTGATGCTGGCCGCCCTGAGTGAGGGTTGGCGTTATAATTAATCTGGGTCTCTGCAGTGACCCCTCCCAGAGCGACCCCGAGACCAAAGACTTCTGGCTCAACATGGCAGCTCTGGCCGAGGCCCTGCAGCGCCAGGCGGAGCAGAACCCCACGGCCTCCTACTACAACGTGGTGCTGCTGCGCTACCAGGTGGGCCACGTGCGTGGGGCGGGCCGAGGCGTCGGGGGGCGGGGGGAGGGAGGGCAGAGGACGGGTGAGCAGGCGGCAGGAACGGAGTGCCGGGTGGCCGGGTCCGCGTGGAAGGGCGCTGCGTCCGCTCGTGCAGCCGTGCGCCATCATGCAAAGCGGAAGGGCCGGTCTCCAGGACCTTGGACTTGACCTGTGTCTGCCAGACTTCGCTGGAAGGACGCACGCTCCTGCCGTCACTGGACACGCGGCTTACTATAGACTCCAACCTATACGACGCGTCCTGGCACACGGGCCGCGTGGGGTGGCGCATGCGCAGCAGGGTCAGGGCGGCAGGACCTGACGCTGCGTCCTCTCTCCCGTCCTTGTTCCTCCTAGTTCTCCCGCCCGGGCCCCCAGGCCGTGCCGCTGCAGCTGAGCGCCCACTGGCAGTGCGGGGCGACCCTCACCCGGGTCTCGGTGGAGTACCGCTACCGGCCCGGCGCCACGGCCGTGCCCACGCCGCTCACCAACGTCCAGGTCCTGCTGTCTGTGGCGGAGCCTGTGACCAACGTCCGCCTGCAGCCTGCTGCCACCTGGTGAGGGAAGCCACGTGGGAGCCAAAGGGCTAAGGGTGATGTTATTAGCAATAGTGAGGTCCCGTGACATCTGGACTGTGTCATCTACACTTACAGAGGGGAAACTGAGGCACGGGGAGGTCACACTAAGATTCGAACCTGTCTGTCCACTCTTGGTCCTGGGCTTTTGGTCGCTGCACGTGTTGCCTTTGATTTCTACAGAAGGTAGAAACTGCCGCAAGAAGCCAGACTTACAGGACTGAATGTGTCATCTAAGCGCCGCAAGGCTGCGTGGCTCTACGGCGAGTCTGTACCTCAGCCCCATTTCATAGGTGGGGAAACTGAGGCAAGGTTGAGGATCAGGTTTTCTGGGGTCACACAGCCCGGAGGCAGCTGAGCCGGGACCCCAGGCTCCCATCGTCCGCTGTGGGGAAGAACTGACCAAGGTCCTCTCTCTGCCAGGAACCTGGAGGAGAAGCGGCTTATGTGGAAACTTCCGGATGTGTCTGAGGCAGGGGGTGAGCTATTGTTGTGCGCGAGGGCTGGGTAGGTGGGGTGTGGCTTATTTAAGCTGGGGGAGAACTGGGGCTGTGCCGGGGGATGGGCGGGCATCTAGGAAGGCTTGAAAAGGCTGGAGGAGAGGGCATCCCGGCACGTGCAAAGGCCCTGGGGCAGGACTCCCGTGCAAACCACACAAAGCCCAGTGGGAACAGAAGAGAAGGGCACAGGCTGGAGAGGAGGTCGGGTGGGGTAGACAGAGGGTCTGAGGCTTGGGCCGAGGAGAAGCCAAAATCACAGCGGTGCTGAGGCTGGCGCTGGGGCACAGCTGACCTCAGGCCTCTCCAGGCTCTGGTCGCCTATCCGCCAGCTGGGAGCCGCTCTCGGGCCCCAGCACACCCAGCCCCGTGGCCGCACAGTTCACCAGCGAGGGGGCCACTCTGTCGGGCGTGGACCTGGAACTGGTGGGCAGCGGCTACCGCATGTCGCTGGTGAAGAGGAGGTTCGCCACAGGTGCGGCTGCGCCCCGTCCCCAGCAAGCCCAGGAGCTGGGACCATGCTGGGGTCTGGGGGTCGGGGGCGAGCCCTATCCCCTGCTTCTGCCGGCTGGCAGGGAGGGATTTGGGCACGGGCCGTTTGGGAAGAGCAGATGGATATTGGGGCAAGGAGACCCGGGGGGTGGGCACAGGTGGGCAGAGGGAGGGAGTCGGGGCCGCCGTGGGAGGGACCGGAAGAAAGATGTGTGGCCAGGGGCTGGCCCTCGGAGGGAGAATCCACGGCAGGGAGCCACACACAGCCATCCCCGCGCTGACGGGGGGCATTGGGGACAGTAAGTTTTGGAGGTGCTTTGAAGATGATGAGGATGACTGGGGGATCCCAGGGAGGGGCGCGGGCCCCCTCCCGCCTCTCTCCCTCACGGCCCCGCCCCGCAGGTGTGTGCCTGGTGAGCTGCTGAGCCCGCGCGGCGTCCTGGCGCTGACCGGCTGTCCCCTGCCCTCCTGCTGGACGCTGGGGCCCCACCCCAGCCGCCCTGAGGCCTGGACCTGTGGAGAGGAGCCCCGCGCCCAGCCTGGCTGAGCCCGAGACGCGCCCCTGCTCACGCCAACCCCGTGCAGGTCCTGGCCTTTTAATGGTCTTTCAATAAACACTTTATTTTCTAATAAAATAAAAAAGGGAACCTCTCCCTGCTCTGGGAAGTGTCCTTCACATCGCCAGAGTGGAAAGGAAGAGAAAATGGGTGCATGGGAGAGACCTGTTGTCCCTAATGCAGTCCCCTCCTACACTGTGCCCAGCCTGTACAGAGCCGTCCTAGGGGAGAAAGAGCCAGACATAGGGACCCCAGCCGCAGGGGCTCAGAGCCAGGCTAGGAGGAGGGAGGAGGGCTAGAGGAGCCCAGTGGGGGATGCCAGGGTTCTTCCCAGGGAGTCAGGAAAACTTCTTAAGGAAAGGGCATTATAGATGGGGTTTTGAGATATGAATAGGAGTTTGTAAGATGAGGAATGGCACCCCAGGCTGAGGGATGGGGAGTTGTTTGTTCTGTGAGGAAGCAATCAGTCAACCCATGAACATAGTTCTTGGAAGCTGTGAGGATATAGATCCAGGAGGCCTGGGTTTGGAGCCTGCTTGGCCACCATTGGCTGGATGACTCTGAATGAGTGACTTGAGCCCCACTTTCGTCTTCTGCAGCCCACCTCACTGGGTGTCCGTGGGGCAGTCACACGCTCAGAAGAGTGCTGCTGTGGAGTAAGCCCCCGGGCAGTGCTGGCAGCACTGTGTTTGGGGAGCACTGGGTGGAGGGTGGATTTGGCGCAGGTGGGCGAGAGGGGCCCTGGTGGGCCCAGGGCAGGTGGAGTAACAAGCAGACTGCGGCGGGGAGCTGGGTCCTCGTGGATACGCGGGAACCGGCTGCCTGACACCGGCGTGTGCACGTCCCAGGGACCAGGCCCAGGTGGATTGAGAAAGCCGGAAGCAGGAGCAGGAAGCTGGGTTAGCCGGAGACCTGCCTTGTGTCCCCTGATCCCCCAGCCTGTCCTCTGGGGAGAGAGGGCGTCTGGCTGGGCCTCCGTCCCTGTCTGTACGATGGGGGTCCTCTAGTTGGGTGGGGTCTGGGGAGTGTCCTTAGCTCAGAGCAGGCGCCCAGCCGACACTGGCTACGCCAGGGTGACCACAGGAGCAATTTCAGGAGTCCTAATGTCCCATGGGGGCACTTCAGGCAGAGGCGGCTCCTATGCTTGCCAGACAGCGCCGGGAGTCTGCAGCCCTGTGAAACTCACCGTCCCCTGTCCCGGGCCTCGCCTCGCAGGCTGTGAACCCAGAGCCCAGCCCTGCCCAGCGAGGCCCTGGCCCTGGGCCTCAGGGACGGAGCTATAGCTCCATGAAGTGACAGAATCAAAGACCGATTCTAGGCCAGGCGCGGTGGCTCACACCTGTAATCCCAGCACTCTGGGAGGCCGAGGCGAGAGGATCGCTTGAGACCACGAATTTGAGACCAGCCTGGGCAACACAGTGAGACCCTATCTTTTTTTTTTTTTTTTGAGACAGAGTCTCACTCTTTTGCCCGGGCTAGAGTGAGTGCCGTGGTGTCAGCCTAGCTCACAGCAACCTCAAACTCCTGGGCTCAAGCAATCCTTCTGCCTCAGCCTCCCGAGTAGCTGGGACTACAGGCATGCGCCACCATGCCCAGCTAATTTTTTCTATATATATTTTTAGTTATCCAATTAATTTCTTTCTATTTTTAGTAGAGACAGGGTCTTGCTCTTGCTCAGGCTGGTTTAGAACTCCTGAGCTCAAACAATCCGCCCGCCTCGGCCTCCCAGAGAGCTAGGATTACAGGCGTGAGCCACCGCGCCTGGCGAGACCCTATCTTTAAAAAATTTTAAAAATTAGTCAGGTGAAATGGTGCATGCCTATAGTCCCAGCTACCTGGGAGGCTGAGGCAGGAGGATCGCTTGAGCCCAGGAGTTGGAGGCTGCAGTGAGCTGTGATGATGCCACGGCACTCTAGCCTGGGTGACAGAGCAAGACCTTGTCTCAAAAAAAAAAAAAATGTGGGTTTGGGTTCTTGCCCATCTGATGAGTGGCAGGGACCTGGCACCTCCGAGTGGCTTTAATTTGCTTTTCTCGGGCCACGAGTGAGGAGGGCACCTTTTAGAACACAGAAGGCGCTGTTCCAGGCGTGGCCTCCAGAGCGGGTGTGGCGTGCCCATCTCAGGGCGGCAAGTCCCAGGAGGGGTGAGAGGGACCCGCTGAACTAGCCAACCCCGGGCGGGCGGGGCGCAGTCAGTTTACACGCCTTGGTCTCTTTCACCTGGGTGACTCGGAAACGTCAGCCCTGCCACGGAGTGATGGACCAGGGGCCGCCCCGCTCCCTCCCACCCCCTGGTGAGTAGCCCAGTTGTTTCTTTAAAAATCGAGGCAAAATTCCCATAACAGAAAATTGACCACTCGAAAGCGAACAGTTGCCCATGTTGTGCCCCCGTCACCTCTTGCTAGTTCCAGGACATTTTCATCGCCCCAACGGAAACCCGTCCCCCTCGGCGGCCGCTGCCCCTCCCCCAGCCCCTGGCAGCCATGCGCTGCTTCCTGTCTCTACGAATTGCCTGCTGGGGACGTTTCCATAAACCGAATATGGGGCCTTCGGTGGCGGCGTCTCCCGCTCAGTGTCGCGGGTTCAGGGCGCCTCCGCCCGGGCCGGTGTCGCTTCGTGCGTTTTACGCTGAGTAACGTCCCGCTGCCTGGACGCGCCACGTGCTACCGCTCATCCGTCCGTCCGCTGGGGGACATCTGGGCCGCTGCCGGGACCAGTGCGCCGGGACATCCCTGCACGGGTGTTGCTTCGAACACCTGCTTCTGGTTCCGCTAGGTACATGCCTGGGAGTAGAACTGCTGGGTCACGTGATCATTCTAGCCTGGATTTGAGCCCGGGCCCTTGGGCGCCGGCTCCCTTTCTGGTGCCCACGACCTCGGGGATCCCGGGGGCCCTGTGGGGCGGGTGCTCGTCGCTGTACGAAAGTGCTGTGTCCGTCCCGTTTGATACAAGATCGTTTGCTGTCATCGCCTTTAATAAAGTCGGTTTTGATCACGCATTTGCTCTGAGCGGAGGTCACTCCCCAGACCTCTCCCAACTAGAGGACCCAGGGGCTAGCTCCCCATTTTACAGATGAGGAAACTGAGGCACGGCCAGGACACCCCCGCCCTTTCCTCCTCAGGAACAAACACGGCTGAAGAAGGAAGTAGGGGTGCGCTTGCACCCTCCTGGGCTCTCACATCCGGGACTCCCCCAGCCCAGAGCCCCTGATGCCCACGTGTCAAGGCTGGAAACTTCTAGAGACTCAGACGCGGCTAGCGACAGAGTGTGAATCCTTGCCAACCCCGACCCCAGAAATCTACAAATCTGATCTTCGACTTCCAGAACCTGAGTGGGAACCCACAGCTGGCTTTCAGGGGCAAAGGACAGGTGTCTCAGCGGCTCTGGGATCTTCCAACCCCAGCAGAAACCTGAAAGGCCACTGGATTTGACCCGCGTCCCTCCCCCCGCCCCTCATCTCATCGTTTCTCCATGGAACACGCCTGGGCCAACGCTGCGCCGGGCCCTGTGCCAGGCGCCCGCAAGGTGCTGCTTGTACACCTCGGGCCGTGGGGAGCTCACCCCCTAGCTGTGAGCGGCCCCAGGTGGAGGCGTGAGCTCCAGAGGGAAGAGGGGGCCAGAAGAGGGTGGCAGCCGCGCCGCTTGGCCGGGGAAGGGGCGGGGCCGGGGAGGGGCCACCAGGAAACTCCAGCGGCTGAAAAAGGGGGCCTGGCGGGAAGCCGGCAGGCGGGAGGCAGGAAGGAGCAGGCTGGGTGGGGCGGGGGCTCCTGCTCAGGTGAAAACTCTTCCTTCTGCTCCGGAGCCGAGAGGAGCAGGAGCCCGGCCTGTCGTCTGGGGGTGAGTCCAACTGGGGACCACCGAGGACCTGGCGGACCCCGCCGGTGGGTTTGGGTTCTAGAGAAGCCCGCGGTGGCCCTCCCCCGTCGGTAACAGCCGCCTGCCTTTCCAAGGCCAGCTGCGACCTTGGTGGGGGGGGGAACCTCCCCTACACCGGGCGACGCCTGGCGCCAGAGCCGCCCGCCCTCCTCCCGAGATCGAGACCCGGCGGATCAGACCGAGGTGCGGTGGCGCTCGGTAGCGCTGGCCGTTACTGTTACTGATGTCGTGATTGTTGAGCTTGTTAGGGCGCCGACTGGGTTTCCTATTGTTTCTTGAGGGGACTGCAGCTGACACCCAGCCTCTCCCCGAAGCTCCTGGCCTTGCCAGGTGCTGGGTCACACCCCAGGGCCCCCAAGTCCAGCCCTGGCCTCCCCTGGCCACGTGGCACGGACAGGTTGTTCCTGGGCTCTGAAGACGCCTCAGTTTCCCCTGGGTGAGGTGAGGCGATGACGCAGCTGCGATGAGGATGCCTCAAGCATCCAGCCAAGAAAATTTTATGACGCGCACTTCTCACTGGTGTCCTCGGGCGAGTGGCTTTAGGTCTCTGAGCCTCAGTTTCCCCATGTGTCAAGTGAGGCTCGTGGCATGGAATTGCAGTGAAGAGGAATTCAGTGGAAAAGAGCTGCGCCCATTCGTTGAGCGCCCAGGGACAGTCGGCTGTCGCCACCGTTATATTAGTGATAATTATGTCTCTGCCCACCACTCGGATCCCTTTTCCAGGTTCCTGACCAACTTTCCCCTGCGTCAGATTTTTTGTTTTTTGGCCACTTTTCAGATGTGGAGACTGAGGCTCTGCCAACTGAGACCAGGGCCTCCTATAGTCCAGATCTGGGGTTTAGGGTCTGGGGGAGCTGGTCTGGGGACAGCCCTGGGGGCCACCGCTTTCTCCCACCGTCCTGTTGGTCTGCAAGGTGGCTGCCACCCTAGGCAGGGCAAATATCCCTGGAGGCAGGAGAAACAGGTCTGGCCCCCGAGTTGAACAGCTGGGCCCCCACCTGGCCTGGGGGACAGTTGGGCCCCCACCTGACCGAGTGAGCAGTGAGGTGTTTGCCCAGCCCAGCCCCCTCCCTGTGCCCCTCCCTTAAGCCCAGGGTGTGGCAGTTCCTGCCAGG